TGGAGTTAGAACGTCAAATGGTGTATGGTCTACGATGGTTGCAGTGGCTCTATGATATCGACAACATATTAGCTTCTATGATCTCGACAACATATTAGCTTCCGAAATAAGTCCTTAAGTCCTTCTAATACTCTTCTACCTAAAAGAGAAAACCATTCCATGTGTTTCTCATTTTAGTTAAACCGTAAAGGAAACTACACTTTCTTTGAGTAGCTTTTAGTTTGTATCACGAAAAATAAAAATTATAAATTATAAATTACAGTATAGATATACGTATCACTTTTCGCTTGTTGGGTAACTCAAATTTTCCAATAACACCGATCACACTTTTCAACAAAACAGAGTTGCTACTTCTTTACTCGTATTCCCACAATCTCTTTACTTTCAACTACCTCTTGCATTTTTTACTTTAAAATTCATTCTTACTCTTTTCTCTAATCAAAGAAAGCGAAGATTTCACCAAATTGGCTTTTGAAGATTAAAAAAGAGAGTGAGATATCCGACAAACGCTTTGAAGAATCGAAAAAAGAGGAGATCATTACACGAGGTGATCATTTGCAAAAAAAAGACACATCGTAGCAAATTAATCAATTTTATTCATAGTATTATTTAGTTATCTAATCATTGGTGTTTCGGTTAACCAGATTTTTACTCGAAAGATTTGATTGTTCTCAAATCTGAGACAAATATAATGTAAATTTAAACAGAATTTAGATTTCATCTAGGGTCGTGCATTAATACTAGTAATTCCAATGAAGTGTATGCTTGGATACATAACATAAACAACAATTGAAGCAAAAGAACTAAAGCTTTTCCATGGCTTTCCAGAGACTAACCAATGGTGGAAATAGCTTCTCTGCAGCTCTACGTGGCACCGAGAAACCTCCATGTGTACTTGTGTCACTTGCAGTAAGTGTTTTGCTGAAAAACTCAGTCCGGTGCTTACTTCCTCTCCTTAGTCCAAAGTCTGGTACTGGGAACACATCCCTCTCCTAATACACAAACCGTTTTAAAACTCATTCGACTTTTCGAACTGTCTTTGTCTGCCTATCAAAATGTAAGAAAACCCATTGTCAAAGAGAAATCAAAATTTTGTTTGCAATCTAATAAAGAAAAAAGACTGAACTACACATGCATGAAGAGTAACATTATGGACTTGGCACATCAACTGAGATGGAAGATTTGGGTAATTAGGAACTTTAGTTGTTGATGATCTTCTGGTTGAAACAGCAACCTAAATAAAATAAAATTGTACAAAAATGTCAAGTCTTTGAACAAGAGTTTACTTACAAGATCTAGAGAGCTACAATGTGTTTGGTGTTCCTAAAGACACACAAAGTTACCTGTTCACTGTGACCTTATGAGAAGTAATACACCAAACTCCCAACTTGAGGGAGACAAACCAGAGGTCCTGCACAAGCGTGCCATAGCTTTGAGATTATCACCGGCTTTCTCGTTCCTGAACATGTTCAAACGAATTTCCAACATGTCGTTGGCGTAAATCATGAAACTATTCGAATTTTGGACAAGTTAACAAGAAAAAGGTTTGACCTTTTGTATGTTTTTTGCTTCATAGAAAAGGTAAACCCACAAAGAAAAAGTTGCAATCAAAATCTTGAGAAACAAAGAAGATGAAAACCTGACTGATCTTTCAATAACTTCATTTCTTCAAGAAGAGAAGAGTAGATTGAGA